TCAAACATCAGCAGACAGATTAAAGAATGCCTGTAAATGGTGGACAGGCCTAGTTCTGTCACAATCTTGACCGCTGCACTCTCCATCTGTCTCAATAATTGCGACTGCAACAATACTCAAAAAGCTTAATACCAACCTGCTTGACCAGCACCCCATCCAACAGTTTAAAATGGCACTCCGCTTGCAGTGCAGTGGTAGTGCCCTTACTTCTGAGCCAGGAGACCTGGGTCAAAGTCCCACCTGCTTCAGAGGCGTGCAAGAACATCTCTGAACAGGTTGATTGGAAAATATCTAAAATTTCACTCTTCACCCTATAGGCACACAGTGGTGGCAGTGTGTACAATCTATAAGATGCAATGTAGCAACTTACCAAGGTTCCTTTCACAGCATCTTCCAAGCCAATGACTCCCACCATCCAGGAAGTAGGGTAGCAGAACCATAGGTAGATAAGCACCACCAAAACCTCCAAATCAAACAATTTTGACGCAGAACCATCTCCTTATGCCTTCACTGTCAAGGTCAAATTCCTGGAAGTCCATTTCAGGTGTATATCTGCACCACACAGACTGCAATAGTTCAAGAAGGCTTCTCCTTACTACTTTCTCAAAGGCAATAAGAGATGTATAATAAATGTCTTGACTATGACGCTCACATCCTGTGAAAGGTTTGTTTTGCATAATGAGTGAATGTTTATCCTAGGTTTTCATGAAAATTAAATTTGGAAATTTAATGTTGTTAACAGTTTGTTTGAAATCAATAACTGGTTAACTAATGAAACCATGTGTCTTAAAACGCTAAATCCAATGAGAAACGTAAGACGTTAATACTGCCACAGAACCAAAACTACCACATTGGGGGTTGAAGAGTGCTGAGTCACACTCAATACTGTGTTGTTAGAGATGCCAACTTTCTGATCGATGTTTAACCGATAGCCAACCTGCCTACAAGTTGAACATAAAAGAAAAATATCCTATGGCTTTATTTGAAAAGAGGATTCCTTCCAGTGGCATGTAAAAACTTATTAACCTACAACTATGAAAATAAATTAACTGTTCATTTATTTAGTTACGTGTCAGACCTTCCTGTGAGAAATTGGCTATTCTAATTCCCTCCATTCAATTATGAACGCGGTCCATTATGAAATTCTGAGGTTCAAGAGTTGTCATATTATTGTATTATTTAAGCACATTAGATTTAAAATAGAGAACATCCAACCTCCAGTGAAAGGCAATCTGGCCCAAAAAAGCAGAGAAAAGAATACATTCCATTTATGTAAATCTACAAACATGTTCTTCATCCGCAATGTTAATAAAATGCATTTAAATAATACTTCCAGAGGAACATAAAAATGTTCTTAATTCAGCTTTTAGTAATATAACTAGCTAACTGTGGTTAAAGTGATTAATATATGCTGCATCTATTGGCTAGTTAGTTCAAAATCTATACTTAAATGAAACATTTAAAGAAATCTGGAAACTAATGCTGAAGTCTGTACTAACGCCTTTATACATAGAAACTAGTTATCAAACAATCTTAAAGTACACTTGTTACAATACATGCTTTGGAGCCAAGTATTTGAAGAATACTGACAACAAGGTGTGTAAATCATAAAATACAACCCAAAATGAAAGCGCAACAAACTGGCAGACATATACCAAAAATATATTTATCAAAGAATCTAACAAGGATGCTTAAATACTTCTGCAGTAACAATACCCAAAATATTGCTTAGTGTGCAGACTATTTAAGTCATCTGCCATTGGCTGGGCTTTGCAAGTGAAGGTGCCATGATTGTTGCTACAGTCTATGCAGCTACAATTATGATAGAGGATATCATATTTGCTTTGCAATTTTCAGTAGTATGTATGATGTGTTTACATCAACAGGTGACATGTTCTTTGATACTACTTAGGGGAGTAGTTCTGTGAAATTAAAAAAATTAAACAACTTCCTTTCATTTCAACCTTTCTTAGAAAATTCATATTGGGAAATAAACAGAGTCAAAACATGGAATGTTTCCAAACACAGCATACATTATATGCCATAAACACCCTAAAGTTGGTGGCAAGCTTCTGCAGCAGGCTCTACAAAAATATATCTACAAAGTTCACAAAATCCCCATTTTGTACAAGTATTTATCTGCCTGTATATGGATAAACCAAAGCAGAAACATAGCCTATAAGCTCAACTCCAAATTTTAACAACTGTAAAAAAGTGCCAAACAACAATGCATTGCATCTGTCCATAAATTTAGCATTTTCAATTTAAGCATAAAATCAACTATTTGTAAATAGGAGGTGATGCAATTGTTTTAACATGGACCACTAATAATAAAACATAAATCTATGCCTTTTTAGTTAGGTGATGCGTCAATTATTCTTGTGCCCAAATTTTAAGCATAGAAAACACAGGTCATAGAGTATGATTAAACATTTCAGTTCAAATTACTCTCGCTGTATTTAGCCTGAATGATCACAATTTGTACATTAAAACATTGATGATCAAATGACTGTCAAATTCTGTGACAATATGGAATTATATGTGCGAAAATCTACTTTTAAGTAAAACTATAAAAAAGATAATAAATTCTGGGAGGTTGAAATCAAACTTTAGAACTTGACATACATTATATAAAATAAAGGCGAACAATGACCAAATAGCAAAATTAGTTTAGAGAAATGCTTTAAAAAGAATGAAAAAAAGTTTGAATTTTGCACCCAAAAAGTTCCTACAGGCGGCAATGAATTCTGCCAGAACTACTATGAGCTGATTTTTAATTATACACGTACCCTAAATGTCTTTTATTTCAAAAGTGGGTCAAGCATTTCCTATTAGCTTAAAAGATCGCTGCAGTGAAACATGTGATCAATCTCCACTTAGAAATAGAATCAAGCTGCAGGTGGACAACGAAATCCAACTTTAATCTGTTCAACACAAAATGGTGACAAAGCAAGCTTGCTACATCACTAATTTGTAACTTAAACAAATTTTTAAATAGTCAAATCAGCAAATAACTAAAATAAAGATTCTGCTAAGTCACTATTTTTCATCTTAAAGCATGCAGGTAAGTGAATATAAGGAACTTCTAAACTTGGAACAAAAAGTCCCAGTTGCTGTATTTGGTTTTTCATAATAGATTGTGTCTTTGTGCACCAAATACACAAGATCAGCAATGAGTGCAGGACTAGAAAAGCACATTCTAAAAGGAAATAAATACTGACAAGCGCGCGGGGGGGGGGGCGGAAGGTGGTCTTACATGGGGAAAAGAGGAAAGAAATGAGAATCTATGATTCTTTAAGCGAATAGTTGAATTGCTAATTGAAGATGTAGAATATGACTGCAAGGGTCCATTACCTTATTCATCCTTCATAATACAAAATGGCTTTTATAATTTGTCCAAAACTTTGACAAGATGGGCATGCCAAACTTTAGTGTGCAGTTATTTCAACTTGTTCATCTATTTAAATATTTCATAGTTAACAAAGCTGATATTAAAAACCTTTCTTTGTAATTCATAAAATTACTGCTGATTTCCTGGTACAAGCCAAAAAAAAAGCATTTACTGTAACAGTTTTTCCATTTGTAACAGACCTCCATTCAAGAAACAAAGTCAAGTCTACACTGCAATGTCTTACCATGATTTTAAATAAATTGAAAAGAATATTGTTACATAAAATTAAGAATATTAGCACTTTTGTAACAAAGGTTCCACATGTTTTTTTTTACTATAAATGGTAATTATAGAGAGTTTTATTTTAAATCCCAGTATCTGTACAGAAGTAGAGCCATGATTTCATAGGATTTGTCTGATTCCTTATGGTCAAATACCACACATTATGCACCATCTATAAAGACAGTTATGTCTTTAAAAACAAACTTACAAAAAACTGAAAAAAGAATGTAATTCCAGTTATAAAATATCCAGAAGTTTGTAAATGATGACCAGTAGTTTATTCAAAATAGATATGTTTATGGATATAGGCACAGACATCAAAATAATGCACATGCTAGAGATGTTGCAGAAATAAAGTCAGAATAGTTTCATATACAAGTTTACATGAAGATGATGGTTTTTTAAACTGTGTAATTAAGTAATGTATTTGTTTGACTAAAAAAAAAGCACTAATTTGTCCTTTTTAACTCAATTGTTTACTAGTTTTTAAGTTTGAAAATTGCTTAAAATGGTTTTATTTTCTGTTCCACATTAATAAATCTACTTAAGAATTTACATAAAATTGCTAACAAGCTATAACGTTGGCTGTCTGTAGTTTCAACAAATCAATCTTAGAAATGGTATGTGCGATGACAATGATTTATTTCCATAATATAAATAGTAGGGTGCCAACTCGGAACTATTTTTAAAAAACTACTCGCTGCACATGAAATTGCAAATAGTACAACTTTGTTTTAAAATAAAAGTCTCTATTGACAACAACAAAACAAAGCTAACAAAACAGTTAGCAGTTCCCAGGATATATCGGTAGTACATACTATCTACAAACAAAACCTCCCCATCGCGTCATGAAATTAATTATTTTACAGAATCGTCAACCGTACAGCTTCCAGATAAAACTACTTGCATCTTCTGCAGCTGGGGCCTGGTAATGCACTTCCAGACTTTTACCAAACTGTTAACATTTTTTTACGCCAGCTGACGAAAAACAGCGAATTGTTTTGTTTTGCAGTGAATGTCAAACGAACAAAGGAATTTAAAATTCCCACTTCGACCTGAATTATTTTCAAATGTCCCAAAGCATCCACCGCCCCCGCCAACTCCCTCAACATACCCACCCAAACCTTCATCACCTTTCCCCTGAGGACACAGATACCAGATTATTACAGCGCTCAAAAGCTCATAATTCACTGAAGCAACCATCTAAAGTCGCCAATTAATCTAAAATTTCACTTGATCATGATAGTGAAAAACAAAAAGAAATAATTTACAAAAGTTTCCCAATTATTTGATATTACAAGCAATAATTTTCAGAAGTTGCACATACCTTACTTGCCCAAGTGCAGGGATATATTCCCAGAAATAAAACACATTTCCAAAGTAGACACTTTGAATACTGTATCCATCTTCTGTATACACAAAAGACAACCTAACATGATGACCAGACATCCAGCCCCGAGATTACAGTGATTGGTGCAGCGTCTCAGCAGGCCAGCCTGCTGCCTCTTGACCAGATTGATTGGTTTAAGGTCAGTCCAAAGTCCTGTTGTGTAATACACCGCTCCTCGGTTGACTCGGACCGCCGTCAATCACTAGCTCTGTCTAATCAATCACTTCTATCCCGGAGAGGAAGTGGGGAAGGTGGGAGGAAGAGGGACAGCTATGCTTCAGCTCCCATTGTCTCTCGAAATTGTCAATCATTCCAGCTGTTGGGGGCACCCCCACACTCTGAACATGTCAGCTATCAATCAGTGCAGCCGAGAGCACTGATTGGCTGAGCCGAATGTCAATCACCACAGCCGAGATCGTTCAATGGTCACACCACCGTTCAATCAGCCCAGCCGTACGTCAATCACACGCGGCGTGCAAGCCATTGGCCACGAGACCCGTCAATCAAACGCCGACACGGTGAGTTTTTCAATTCTCTGACATCAAGTTAGGTTGACGCCGCCCGTCGCCTGTTTAGTTTCTACGCATTTTGTGTTTTGTATTATGTCTCTTTTTTGCCCTCCCCTCTACACACCCCCACCCCTCAAGCCCGACGGCTCTCGACGCCTCGAAGCGGCAGGTGACAGTTTATAAAATAAAACGGCCTAAAATCCATTGGCCTACCCCTTACTAGCCTAAAGAGCGAAAGGCCTCAGTCATAACTCAGAACAAAGCCAAACAGGTACAAATAAAGCCTAAGTAGAGAGGAAAAAAAATACATCTGAAAAGTTAACACCCCACAATTATTTCCCATTGCAAAAGTGACTCAACAGCTCCGTTATTTCTTTTGAAATAGTAACCTTAGGCAGAGCGTAAAACAACTGTAATGAAATAGGAAAGAAAGATCTGAAGACAGGGTTAGTTTTAATTTATTTGCTGATGAGGCTCAGTTTGAGTGTTTATTGGCCCCCTGAGGAGCGCCACTATTTTAACATCATGGTAAAAGTGGGAGGAAGGGGAAGATAAAGCAGTTAAGAAGAGCGGGGCCCTATTTCTCTCTTTTCCCCCGCGCCCCAGAAGGTACTTGAAGGCTCATCACTCAAAAAGAGTATGTCAAGACGGAGAGCGACCGCCGCCACTGCAGCCGACTCTCGGGAGTAACACGGGAGAGGAGGAGGCGGCGGCGGCGGTGGCGACGACCCTACTTTACACCACCGTCTCCCACCACTAAACTCAGAGCGCAGGCAAGGGGATAGGAAGCAGCGGTTTGCTCAGCCTGTCGGACCGTTCTGTTGAAACGTTGAAGAGTGCGTGAGCCTGGTTTTTAAACTTACCGTTTGTTGGGGAGCGCGAGGCGGCGAGTCAGCAACAGCGGTTACGTCATTCAACCTGTCCGCCCATGACGTCACGCAGCCCCGGCGCTCCGAGCCCAAACATTGTCCTCACGTGGACCCCATTGTAAACACAAGCCTGAAGTATGTCCTCATCCCGAGACTTTCTGCTTCGCTCTGCGCCTTATTTTTGTTTTGTATTTAGGCGGATTAGTTAGCTATTGTAAAAGTTTTTGGTTTGGTTTTGCTGAGCATTGGGCGCTTTTGAGGGGAGGGAGTGTAGGAAAGGATTTTAAAGAATGTTCTGGGGAAATGATTCCTATCATGTATCATTTCACCAGGTGATTGTAAGGTGACTTGTGAAGCGACATGACTTGTACCTGGAACCGGTGTCCAGAGCTTTACCTACAAACCCCCTCCCCACCCTGGGTTCTCGATAGACTAGCGAAATTGAATTACTGAATGTTCACCTGAAAGAGGTTTTCTTTCCTCTGAAGTGATCACAACTTTTTTACAGTCATTCACAAAGTCTTGTAAAACCAACTGTAGCTCCGTTACTGTACTCCGTCAAGACAGCAACATTTCAATGCAGAGGAAATAGTCGATTATAACATCACAGATCTCTTAATTACGTTTAAAATGTTCTTATAGTAATCTTTCCACAACTATACTTCAATAAGTAAAAACTTCGAACATTTCATGAATTAGACGTTCCGTAAATAATTTACTGGAAGAAATTATTTTCCACATAACTGTTCAGATCAATTCTAAAATTCTATCTAAAATAATACTTAAGTGATAGTATAACTACTTTGTCACAATATTTAAACTAAAAGCGAAACTTGCAGATCCGATTGGTAATAATTTTCTTTTAATTTTCAGAAACCATTTTCGTATGTTATTTCATAAAATGACTGTTACCTAATTAATTCCACACACTGTATCCAATTAAGCGTTGTTCTACTTTAGATAAAATTTATTTCTGTCTACTGCATAGGAAGACCTAATATGTCCGTGCTAAGCGACCTAATAATTAATATCAAATTGATGGTGCTGCTATAACATCCATTTTCAGATATTAAACTTGGCAGTTCATTTGCCTAACTTTAGTTTTAGTTTAGTTTAATTTTCCTTATGTGGATAATAGCAGATAGCCCAGAATGATTATATAAACCTTCCACTAAGATTCTTGTATAATATCATAACACACATAAATCCGATTTTCTAGCCATTGCGCACGATTTTTTGCCAATGCCGTAATCTTGTGTCAGTTTTTAATTATACTGCACAGTTCCTAGGGGACTGTTTGTTTTTTTTCCTGTGTCGATTACTTTTGAAAACAACAGCTGCCATGGTAAAAGCTAACTTATCGTGTCCCATGCGTTTGATGTGTGATAATATGCATGCTAAAATATTAACATTTGTGGCATAGTTACCAGAAATTTATCAAGTGAAAATGCAGTTGTTTACGAAGAAAATTACAGACAGTGCTATATTATGTTACAGTAACTGATATTCTCGTGGCAAAGCCGTTTTCTTTATCAAATGTTTTTAGATACATGACTGCCATATTGAATTTCAGAATAAGGGACAAAGCTGCTTATTTTTAATATGGAGATCATGACAGCAAATAGTAAACTTTGTTTAATAATTAAACAGCCCTTTGTACGCAAGCAATATTTGCATTATTTTCAGTCGTTTTTGCCATCATGGAACTGGATCAGAATCAAATGTGTTGGAAGAAATTTTCATTTAATTGTAACTATTTCATTTAATTTTGAATAAGTAAGCTGTTGAAAATTAGCTGATTGAAGCATGTTAGTTTAACGTTGTGCCTATTAACTGAGAATATTTAGTGAGTTTAAAATGTGTTTTCCTCCCTTTTATATGTCTTTTTTTTTCTCCACATATATGTCCTTGTCACCCATTTGTAACTATCCATGGAATAATTTACTGGTGAGGGTGATATATTCCAAGCCCCAGCTGACGATTCTGTGCAGGCAACCAAGAGGTTTCTGTTCACTACCCCCTAATATATTACTTCAGAGCTGAAACCTCTGTAAGATGTTTCATACCACAGTTGGTTGAAGAGATACAAAAAGGAGTGTTCTGCATTCCACAAAGGTGAATAATATTAAAGGGACATTGGAAAATTTCTTATAAGTATTAAGTCACAATCTTTTAGAGAATAGCTAACTTTACAATGGACCCAGACTTCCAGTTGGAGATAGGGTCTTCAGTTCTTTGAGCCCACTGATGAGAAAGTTGCTCAATCTTCTTGTACACACAGCTAGAATGTGTATCTATGCCCCACCAATATAAACTGCTTGGGCCAGAAATTTTAGTAGATTGGATACTAACACATTCAAATCCAGAGGTGTGAATAAATTCCTCTCTTTTCACTCCTGAGGTTGGTGTAACAGGATTTGAAATTTTTAAAGGATATGCATTTTTTTATGACAAGCTGGTCGTATCTTAAGACAACAAGGTGCAGGGCTGGATGAACAC